ACTGACAAATAATTATGCTTATTAGATCTATTTTCGGCTACGTTTCGGGCACCTTTGTCAAGCTTAGTTAATCAGTATTTTTACAAAGTACTTGATTGTAATAATATAACAGATAATAATCATCTTTATCTTCAGACGTGCCGTACCCGGTGTCTCCACTGATTTCTTAGAATAACAGTACAAAAGGGATCTATTATTTTTGAAGTCGATCCATCAGTTATCTTGTCTCCAAACTCCACTTGGAACAACATTACTCGTATAAACCTTTTCCCGCAGTTTTCTCTAACTTTCTATGTTGTTGGCTGTCGCAAAAGGAAGTAAACAAAGTATTGAATTTTTAACACTGTTATAGAAATGCTTCTGACAATTCAATGTACCATATCAAGTTGTGCGAGACAATATGTCTCGGAATATGTGTCTCCAAATACAGAGGTATTTACCAGTTTGTTTGTTTTTTTTGACAAAGTGAACTGCCGGTTTAAATCATTATATGTATTGTTATTAGAAGTATAAATAATTATTAATGTCACTAAGAAACCTGTAAATATTTAAATAGTTATGAAAAACAACAACAAGCTTTATTCTCCAGATAATAATTAAACACTTTTTTATTTCAACCAACGTTTCGCCCCAAAGACTTCATCAGAGCTAATAATACAAGCAATAATAAGTTGTTGCCATTTCAGATCTTTCTAAGTTAATTCATTGGTCATCCTACAAGAGATACATTTCTACTCACAACCCTAATAATATATTGAAACAAGTGTAATCTAGCAGATATAGACCATCCGATAAAAATAATCTACAAACACAGCCATTCTGTCGCTCACCAAAGGCATTGAACTTTTTTAAAATCGTACATGAACGTTTAGGCGTAAACTTGATTAAAACATCTTTACATGGAGTATAATCTAAGTACGATTTTATTATTTTTGTTCGCTATCTTTTTATTTTAAGTCCATAAGTTTGAACTCTAACAGTACCTATAACTTTCAATTATTTTTTGTGTTAAAACGCTATGAATAAAATATACGGCCGCCTCTTTATGCGGCTTTCAAAAGAAACATGCAAATATATTTAAGTCTTGTGAATAGAATATAATACTGAACTTTCATACTGGATATCAACAAAATTCAACACTTGGCTAGCATTTACTTGTCAAACGTACGACATCTAGAGGTAATTGTAAAATAAGTATTTGGAAAGGAAAATTGATCTTATACAGAGGTCATTCTAAGACCATATAGAACATATAGTAATGAAGAAGAAGCTACCAGTGAAGTGGAGTCTCAATATAACAGAGTAGCAAGGACTAGAAGCTTTCTTTTGGACCAAGAGCCAAGTCAGTCATGGTCAGTCATGGTGAGAACGATTCCCGTATTCTTGATCTTGGGACATAGAGGCTGGAAGAACGCTAGAAGAAGCCCTCGCTTTATCGATTACTTTCCATATGCAGCTTAGGGGCAGCAAAAAATAGGTAACGTTTAATCTGGATATCTTGAGATAATTGTTGTGACTTTGGGTATCCGAGAAATTGGTTGAGTATCCCAGGCATTGCGAAGCACTAGGGAGAAAGGGTGAAGAATGTATGGTGGATGAACTCTGCCAGGAAGAACTGAAGACCTTCCAGGTTGAACAGTCAGTATCTCACTAAAGTTACGCAAGTACATGGGGCAATCAAGACTCTTCCAAGTTGGCAAGGCATAATAACAACATTCTGAATTGCATCCAGTAGCTAAAATTGATACAAAGAACAATGATGGCACATACCCATATGCATAATAACCTTTTGCTGTCCAGCTCGTCTGAAGGTATCACATTTGTCAGAACACACGTGCCTCCAAACTTGAAGAGAAAGAGGCCTCCATTAATCACTGACAGTGGTCTCAACTACTCAGTGGTACAGATGATGACAGAAGGTACTTGCCTGCATTAACATTATGTAGTGGTAGTAAAATTAAGTACGTTAAAGTTTAAGCGGACAATCATTAAAGATCAGGACTATTTTCTCAAATGATTCAAGCAGCTGATCTCCTCAAAGACAACTTGTACAATGTCTGCTGTTGAGCTTGAATATCTCCGTACTTGAAGCCATAGCGCACTTGAAGAAATAACAACTTCATGACTGGGATATGGTTGTCACTAATAATAAATTGCACCAAAGGCTCGACTCTGTGAGGTGTTCCATAGGATTGGCGCCATAGTCCCTATGAAAACTTGACAACTTACACAGACAATCTCAAGATACGTGGGAAAGTTACCAAGCATGTAATCTGCTGATCATTATAACATTATTGTCTACATATTCACAAAAGGACTGCTGATCAAACCCACCACAGGAATCTCAGGAATATTGAACTTGATATTGGATGAGAAGAAGAAACTGCCAGCAGTGACCAAGCCAGTGGTTGTCTCTGTAGCATCACAGTTTATCTAAGCTAGCCATATTGAAGTTGACACTGGATCAGAAGAAGTGGCCAATTCAGTGGCTGATGCTCCTATGAAATAAACCTCAATAATCTATGTTAAGTGTCAGCCAATAAGCCCACTTATGCAGGTACTGCGTGATGTTGTGATGCAACCAAAATAAGGCTGTCCAGATCTAGTGGCCATGGTTGCACCAGTTATTCAGAACTGAAGCTCCTCAGAAGATGACTAGCGTAGGATATTACAATTATTTGGATATAAAAAATCTAACTTTCTGATAAACTAAAAAAATTCAATGAAAAGTATTTTACTGTTTTTGTTTCAAAACAAAACTTCCTAAATTTCACAACCTAAAGAAGGATACAAATACTAAATAATATATTATTAGTTGTTGTTTTTAACACAGAAACTACACACTATTTATTCCAAGTTTTATACAATTTATTTAATTATTATTACTTTCATAACAAAAAGAACAGTGGTATCCCCACTATTGTGTATTTGTTTTAGCGCAAAGTTACACAATGGGCTACCTGCTGGCTTTCCATAACAAGGTATCGAATCTCGGCTTTTTAGTGTTGTAAGTCCGTAACATACCGCTGACCCATTTGGGAACTATCCCATCAGTAAAGAAAGCCTTAAACTACCAAGTTTTCAGTTTATCATAATTTATTTTATTGTTGTGCTGATTGTATTGACTTTACCTTCCTATTCAACTTTCAAAGTTATGTGCAGAGAGGCGTACCGTTTTTCGATTGTGTCTTCTTCTTCTTCCAAATATTTTTCAATCGACCGCCATTCCTTCAATTTTTGGCAGATTGAATTGAAACTAGGTAGGATTACACATTGATCCAATACGCCCAGAAACCTATTAAACTATTTTAAGGATTTTGTGGAGTCACTGGTTAAACAACCTAAAAATGTATATTTTTGACTCCTTGTGTGGTCATACTTATAACAATAAAATAATTATACGGGGTCAAAATGAAACAAAAAACAACAACATAATTTTAGGGTTTTTGGAAGTTATTCTGCTGTATTTCGGCCAATCTACATGGAATTTGGTACAAAAATACTTTTTTTACGGGTCCCAAACAGAGATATAGACAATTTTGTCATTTTTGTTTTTTGCTCAATTTTTCAGCGAGGAAAGCACACTTTAGGGTTTTCGTATGAAAAACTTGGTGTCTTTTCGTAGAACGTTATTCCTTTAATTTAACAATGAGCTTTAAATAACACAAGTATATTATCAGGAATGAAAAATCATGATTAACACCCACAAAATATGGGCTGTATTTATAAGTTTTGTTTTCTGGCTGCCTCGTTGCTTTTGCCGTACTAGCTTAAATGTTTAAAGGTGTGATCAACTTCCACTTGGCAATGTTATATTTTCGATTACAAATTGTTAAAGATCAGTAACTGCTCGTTCTGATTAAGGCTACATATAGCCCCTTATAAAGCTAAGAACCTTCTTAAAGTTCTCAACAGCTACGTGGGCGGAACATTAAATGTGAGATCAACCAATGAATTCACAGTTGAATAAACAACAGGCGTAGAAACATACACTAAACTCAAGCTAACAGAACACATTGAAATATGATTGCGCCCCAAAATTTCACTCTGGCCCACCCAAGTTCATTCTCCCTAGTGGTTTAAAATACCATATTATTAATTTTTAAAAAATCATATTTTTTCTTTCAATCGCCAAGAAAAGTCAACAAAAATTCCAATGCTCCCCCCCCCCCTCAAGGGAGAGGAACTGGATCTGGGCCTGCTATTATCTAATAAAAATAAATACATTTCGAAAAGTGTTGACACGTTCTTGTGTTCGGATCTTTCAGCAAGTACAGTGAAATAGATCAGAATATCTCTAAAGTTTTTTTTGGTGTGTGTATTTGTATATATATTTATATGCCCGGCATGGCCAGGTGGATAAGGCGCTCGACTCACAATCTGAGGGTCGCGGGTTCGAATCCGCATCTCACCAAACATGCTCGCCC